AATCTTAGTAAAATGGGTTTGAACCGACCTCCAAACGATCCGTGATTCTGTAATGAAGAGTACCAAAATTGCATACATGCTTAAATTCACATTCGTAAAAATCAAAGTTGACTTTTTATGGACGTCGCCTGACGACGTTTCCGTAGATTTTACTTTTCCAGTGAAAACATCATCTGTTGATATATACTGTGAATATTTTGTGTATATTTAGATATATTTAGCTAGATTGAAAGTTGTGCATAATGTCAAATCATAAAAATACAAATTGTTTAGTCTTTAAGAAAACTTGTAAGATTGTCGCAGCTAGTTTTGCTAAACGGGGTCAATTTGAGTACTCGGTGCAATTTTGGTACTGTGACGTTATCTGTATTGATTCGAGTGACACTGATTATGTATACGCGCGTAACAATTAATAAACCTGATATGTTTAATAAGTTTTCACAGCCATTCAACGTACACAAGTTATCGTATCAGAATCATATTGTTAGTACGTCACAATTATAAGAAGCAAATCCCAGTCTCTGTTGAAATGAGTCTGTTGTATGAATATGTATAAAACTGCGGGCACTGAAGAGTACTGATCCATCATTTTTATCCATTTTTGAAAGCTAGTCATGTACATAATTGACAACCTTGAAAGCATTAAAAGAAGGGAGGAAATTCGTTGCAGAATGAAAAATAAAATAGAAAAATTCTATAAAAAATATTTGGCTTCAATACAGTAGTTTTGAATTCAAATATTATAAAACGGTATTACAACGAGTTTTGATACAATCAACGGTGATATTATGTTAATAGACGACGTGATGCTCACCTAAAAGTTCGCAATTTTTGCCAGTATATCTTGATGAACACTGGCAAGTGTAATCTGATCCATTATTTGTACACCATCCTGAGTGTTTGCATGGGTCTGACTTACAAGCTGTAAATATAAAACACCTATGTAACGTATCTGTCAATATTCTATATATAAAAGATACAATGTTTTTTGTTCGGTTTAAGTTGGTCTCTTATTACCGTAGTTTATCCAATATGAGTGTAGCTCTGTACTTCAGTACTGCCATGACAAGAACATAATGATATTGTTTTATTAGCAGTTAATATTATGTATATTAAGAAATCATTTGAAGAATGAATAACCTGCTGAGATCGAGCTCAGTGAGTGTGAAGAATTTTTTCAATATCTCGTCTATCAAATACCATCGTTAGACAAATAGTTAAAAAAACATTCAAAAGAATAACAAGATGTTAATTCTAAAGCGAAAACAAACGATATTATTTTAGCTTAAAACATTAAACAAAAAAAACACCATGGTAGATAGTAACCAACAACAACCACAGAACTGTTTACTCCTTATGTTATACAAGGACATAACAAACAGTAATGAGGTTTACAATTTTTGTGAGCCCTAAACAACCTCTACCCTCGCCTTGTAAAGAGTTGAAGCAGTAAGGAGCGATCTCAACAACTGCATAAATAAAGTATAATTTGCTTGACAGCGAAAGAACTAAATTGTCTAGGAGAGCATAACATTGAAATGATACTTACGATCAGCAGGTGCTACAATAAAAAAATAGTATATGTGATTTTGTAAGTAGTGCAAGTCAGATGCTAATATCGTATATACCTGCCGGTTATAACACTATTTTTTTCTTGAACTTAAAGAGTTACACGCTGATCTATTTTTTACTGATTAACATTCACTCTCCTTCGCACTGCCCCGGCGGAAACAATAACCAGGATCATCAATTTTACTAAACTAACGTAATTCATTGCTTCTGAACTCATTTAATATAAAAATCAGGAGATGTTGTATGATATATATATGAATTTTACCTTGTTTTTTATCGTATCCGCTAAACTTATATTATCAGGAAATTTTCATGCTTCATAACATGAGGTCAAGGGCAGATGAAACCTGTCTGATGAACATTTTTACCTTGCAAAAGATAGGCGAAAGATACCAATGAGATATTCAAACTCATAGTCAAAAACAATCTGGAAATATCATGGCAAAAAACGAAAAACGGCGAAAAGACAAACAACAGCACACAAAACACAACATAGAAAACTAAAGACTATGCAACCCCATAAAAACTCGGGTGATCTCAGGTGCTCTGGAAGGGTAAGTAGATCCTGCTCCGCTAGTGACAACCCTCGTGTTGCTCACGTTAGTACAAATCACGTCGTGACGACATCCGTAACATTTTCGAAGGGATGATGTAAACTTGACCACTTGGAACTTTTGGTTCAATAACTTCATTGTACGGATTCTATATAACAAATAAAAGGTGTTCATTTTATTCACAATAACTGATAAAAAAAATACAGGCACACACTAGATCAAAAATGTAAATGGCTTGTCAGCATAGGAAAAAAACGAGTTTAAATATGTCAATTATTCGTGGGCGTAGTAATTAACATAATCACACAAAATAACATAAATAGTTTCATCTGATTAACACTACAAGCAGGCAAAATAATACTTACCAACTGTGTGTACAACTTTAATCCAAGATGAGGCTGGAAAATGAAAAAATGGGAACTGTGCATTTACAACATTCAAAGATTTCCTTAATCGAGAGTAAACACAAAGTTATTTGAGTCTTGTTGATAAATTACAAACCTTAAACATCTTTAATGTTATTACAAGATAGGTCGATTGATTTAAGTACATAGACTAACTCAAAAGTATTTAAGATATGTTACCGTTATGATAAAGCGAACTTCTGAATTCTTCTATAGATACTTAACATCACACAATCAACTAAAATCAAAATAAGTGTACAAGTATCAACATAATTATTAGAATTCATTTGACCTAAATCATTTGTTTTGATATTGCTTTCACTTGTAATACGAATTAGTGTCTAGTTACTTATTTACATGTAATGTAATAAAGAACTTTTTATGCCTGGCATATAATATATAGACATGTTGTAAAATATGATTTGAGCGCTTCGAGAACAAAAAACTTATACACGTAATGACATGTTCAATGATTAATTTACACCTGTAGTAATTTATTTTTAGAATACATGAAGTTCAGTTGTTAATTTTCCAACGAAGTTTCAATACAAGGTGTTCTATAAAACATGAATTTTTAAACGATAATGAACTGATGATATCCTTTATGTTGTGTTCAAAAATGAAGTAACCATTATAGTAATTTCTGGAGCTTTGTTGGGTATGGATATGAAAATACAGACTATCGAACAAATACATCACATTTAACACAAATACAATAATTTTGATATCGAAATATATGAGACAAAGAATACATATGGATAATGAGTTGAAACACAAACATATTCGTAAACCAATTTGTGACGGTGACCGTAAATCTTGTACAGTGTCGACATCAGGCTATCTCCCTTTTTATTCTATTGGAGCAGTTTTTTTTGTAAGGAGCACAGCTCTTTTAATGAAGTCGGAATACCAGTAAAACAGCTAATAATGTTGAAATATTTTCTTTAACTTTATGTTCAAAAAATATTTTGTTTACAGTTGCGGAACATAAGATTTTGAGAAAAATATCAATACATTTTAAATCAAGTGTGAGTGTGCTTAATTAAAATAATTAGAGGTTGCACGACAGGCTTTGTCTTCTTAGTTCAAAATTGTCTCCCAGAACTTCCTGTTTACCTTAGGTAAACATTATAGACTACTTATTCATAATACATTAAAATACCATATAACAACATTGGATAAGTAAGCCTTGCTTTTTTTTTATTACAGTGTTTATAACATATTTGATCACAAAGTTTAAAAGTTATAAGTTCACCATCAATTTAAAAACTTACCAGTTGTTGTTGTTGTTGTTGTGGCTAAAAATGGATAAGTACACTTTTGCTATTAAATGTGTATCTAATGCAAAAAAGACAGATCAATTTTAGTTCCAAAGAATATTTCTTTTTAAAAGAAAACAAACTGGAAATAAGAATAGAATCAAAACTTCAATTATAAACACTGCACCATTCAATACGGATTAGCTCATGCACTATGTATTCTATATCTGAATGTAATTAAACATAATGAGATGAGAGGTTCCTATCCGAATAAAGTTTGACAATGTATCAGAATTGTACTTTAAAACACTCTTTCTTGAATAAAGAAACTTTCGTTTGTAAAACGTTATACACTAGCTTGAATTCAATCGATAAATCGGAGATTGAGACCTTTTAACTTTTGCAGTGATAATATACATTTTCATAAAATGCATGTATAAGTCAAGAATATGACATTTGTTTTCCATTCGTTCCGTTGGTTGATACAGTCGAGCATTTGATTATCTCAGGTTTTATTGACTTCTTCCTTTTTTAATTAATGAATGGCTATTATTTATTTTGAATTTATTGAACCATAAAATTAATTTTTGACTCTTCACATTGAATAATCCGCGAAGCGGATTATGTAAAATGTGAAGAGTCAAAAATTAATTTTATGGTTCAATAAATTCAAAATAAATAATAGCCATTCATTATGAATAAATTTCTATCAAAAATAAGGATCAAGAACTTTTTATATTATTTAAATTAACAATAACAACGTACACACATGTTGGCGTATGAATACACAACGTCAGAGTGGGCGTGTCGCCATAAAAGTTGACAACATTGAAAATAAAGGTAATATTTTTAACCAATCAGAAGACAGTAAATACACCAAATTTATTTATTTTACCGTGGAGTTCGGTATTTTTGTTAATACTTTTTCCTTTTTCTATAAATACAAAATTGATTGCGTGCACATTTCATATGTAACAGTGATGGTTGGTCGTCACAAAGTCTTTATAGATTACGTTTCATGCAAAATAGTTGTCATCAACTTTTTTTTTATACAACCGATTTAATTATCAAAGAACAAAGTTTAACGATCACTAATGAAAATGCATATAGGTTAATGTAGTTGTGCAGCTATCTCACTGAAAGCTAGAAAATATAAGTATTTAACTTTTTTTCTGCTGTTCTTCGTTGTGACAATTTTTAAATTTGATACTTACGTTGAGACACCTTTAACCATGATGTTGCTAGAAAAAAGGCAATCAATAAAATTGGACTTAAATCTATTTGTTAAGTTTGTTTTGTTTATATAAATATAAGGAAAATGTGGTATGATTACCAAAGAGACAACTTTTCACCAGAGACCAAATGACGTAGAAGCTACCGAATACGTCCATATATGGCATTCAACAATGAGAGAAACCGATACCGCATAGGAAGCTATAAAAGGCTCCAACGTGACAAATGTGAATTCAAACGAGAAAATTAACGACCGATTTATGTACAAAACAATATACGAAAAACAAAAGTGATATAAAAAGACACCACTACAATACAGGCTCCTTACTTGGGACAGGCACATGTAGAATGTGACAGGATGAAACATGTTTGCATGCGCCCAGCACAGTGGTGTACAGCACAACACAAGACAAAATTGTAATAAAACAGTTTAATAAGACTTTACTCATCAGATCGACTCAAAACACACAAAAAACAACTAATAAAAAGACTTGGGACACACAGTACTGATCTGAAAGTACTCACAGCAATGTCTAGCAGACGTTTTTGCAAGTGGCCTTGAAAATATCATTTTGGTGTGATTATAGAGCTAAGAAAAATATATACATATACAACCATAAGAAAGGATTTAGATCTAAGTTATTTATCGTTAATTCAGAAATTATTGCGTGCAATTGTAAAGTAAAATAACAAAAATTCCGAACTCCGAGGAAAATTCAAAACGAAAAGTCCCTAATCAAATGGCAAAATCAAAAGCACAAAGTATTGCGAATTTTGAAGAATGGACCTGGTCAAATATTCGCATAACTTTCTACAGTATGCACATTTTGATGTTCCTGGTCAAGTCAGAAACAAAGGAAGTGGTTGTCTTTTTCTATAACTTAATGTGTTTGATTGTTTTGTTTTGTTTTTTTGTATGTTTTTTTTTCTGGGGGGATGGGGATATGGCAGATCTTTCTAGTTGGTTGTAACTTTTCTAGAAAGAAAAAAAAATAGATTGTACTGCAAAAACCATTGTTTATGTAATATATGATTTGATTTCCGAACCACCACATCGTTTTCTTAAAATAAGTTCATCAGGTTATCCAAACAAATTTCTAACGTTTGTTTTGTTTTCTTTTTTTGTCTGAAATTCAAATTTAAAACAAATATTATCATACAAATTTTCAAATTGAATAAATCTTTCATTAATTTCAATCTGGATGTAGTGGAAAAATATATAACGAAATACCTAGGACGAAATATAGTATGACTGATACAAAAAAATGAATTTGAAGGATCGAACAACATTTATCTATCAAAACTCGCGGCGAAACATTAAATGATAAGGCATTGTTTAATATGAAGGATACGGCAGATAACTGTTACTTATATAAGATGATTTGATGACTTGAAAATAGTATGACGTTACTTACGTTGAGTAATTTTTTTCCAAGAAGTTGCTAAAAAGAAATAGACGAACTACAATATATGTTAATTACATCCTGTATGGCTGATATCATTTATCAAGGTGCTTACTAAACGCCACGGTGATCTTATTGGTTCTATTTAAGGATGGATCAAACTTAATTGGTATGAGTAGTTTCCCTATAAATCAGGCAGCACTTATGACTAAGGACACACACCTTTGTGTTCTTTGTTGGGGATATAATTCCGATAGGGTGGTATGTCTTTCATTGCAAAATATCTTTAGATCATGACATTACACATCATTTACATTTAAGTATGTAGATACAAAATCGAGCAAACGACTATGGCAAATTTTGTATTTCTTCATCAAATGTCATAAAACGTATAAAAACATACACATTTTAGTGAAATGACATTAACTATCTAAACAGATTAATTATAACACCAGTAAACTTTTCTGAATTTGAAGCAAAAGGCATCAAGTAATTATTGACGATAATGAGCGATGTCACAATATTTTCTACAAGTTATCATACAGCATGGACATACATGCACATGACGTCTACTGAATTTCAGAAAATAGGATATTTATCGATTGTTTTTTTAAATTCTAATTCAATTTACATGTTTAAAGTAGAACACTCAAACATTCCAAAGTAGTAAAAAATGTACTGATAGTATCTTATTAAAATCATCTCAACTAATGTATCGACTTCATTTCAATGATATGCTAGGTAAGTTTCTGTTTAAATAATTTAAAATCATTATCGGGTCACCAACCTAATCTTAGATGCAAATAAACTCATCACAGATACCAGGATTAAAACGTTGTACGCCAGACGCGCGTTTGGTCTACAAAAGACTCACCAGTGACGCGCGGACCAAAAATGTTTAAGAGGCCATATAAAGTACGAAGTTGAAGAGCATTGAGGATCGACTGAAAAATCATGGGCTATGAATTAGTGGTTTTTTTTCCTTAAGTAGACTACATTTAGTCAACAACAACACTGAATCATAAGACACTAAGTAATCAAAACCACTCTGTCATAAGACACTAAGTCATAAGACACTAAGTTATCAAAGACACTAGTTATCAAACCAATATCACAAAGTCTTACTTCAATCTTTTCGTTATAGTTTTCGTAATCAAGTTTCTTTTAATCATTCTTATAAAAGCAAAACAGACAATGTTTGAATAAATTAAACTATCATTTAATATGGCAGTTTATAAAAAGAAAAACACCAACACCATTTAAACTTACGTGTTGCTGTTGTAGCTGCAGTGAAATAATTTGTTTGTTAATAAGGCATCTATGGCAGCATTAAAACATATATATATATATACATATATATATATATACTGATGCATTGTAAGTCTTTTACTGATTTATACATAAATAAAGGCAATAGTAGTATACCGCTGTTCAAAAGTTATAAATCGATTAAGAGAAAACAAATCCGGGTTACAAACTAAAACCGAAGGAAACACATCAACTATAAGAGGAAAACAACGAAACAACAGAAACACTGAACTGCAACAAAACAAACGCCTACATACAGAGAAACGGACTATTTGATAACGACTGTCATATTCCTGACTTGGTACAGGACTTTTTAAGAAAAAATGGCGGGTCGAACCTGGTTTTATGGCTAGCCAAACCTTCTGCTTATATGGCAATGTTTATAAAAGATGATTAATGATTAAGAGCATACATAAAGATCCGCAATATCAACTACTGTAATCTGCAGCTGTCTTTTGTTCATTTCGTCGGAAGCTTATTTTAATTTCTACTTATTACAAAAGCATTAAAAAATAATTTCACATAACATTCAATCAAATTAACAAGATATTTAATTTTGAAATTTAACATTATAGTTTACTGTTTACTTACTAGACTGGGTCGTCGAAGTTGTAACTGTAAGGTAAAACATTGGATTAATTATTTGATTTGGATATTATGTCCTTGGAACAGACTGGTTACATGAGATAACCTTTTTAACCAAATATTATGCTTTATGTCTATTAGTAAATAAGTTTTGATAGATTTCTTTCGTTCTTGCGAAAAAGCCGTGCATCCAGATATGTAGTGATACTCATCACCAACTTGTAAATCTAATTAAAACACATCCGAATTACTTTACTTTTTATCGACCCCCAGACATATTACTACAGTGTGTTCTAATGTTGAACTGTTACACGACTTTCATAGAGTGGAGACATGGGTTGAGCAGTCACTCACAAAAATTTCTAATCCCGGCACAATCTTTTAATGAATCTGTCCCAAGCCAGGAACGAACCTGTAGTCCAGTGACTGTTGTCAGCCATAATTGTTTTCCTTCAATGTAATGGGTTTAAATGAGGCCATTGTATTATCTCCTATGAATTGTTTAACATTTTATTATCCCGTAGCCTTTTATTGCTGCAAGTCAGGAATATGAAAGTTTTTTTTTCCATTCGTTTCATTGTTTGATATAGTCTAACGATTGATTTTGTCCGATTTGATCGGCTTCCTCCTTTTTTAATTTACCTTGAAATTCGATATTTTTGTTAATACTTTTTTACGATGTAGGTTTTGCTCATCATTGATGGCTGTGCTGTGACGTGAGATTGTTTCCTTCCTTGTTCATTGGTATTCGATGGATAGTGGTCTCATTGGCAATTACACCCCATCTCCTTATTTCTATATTGAGTTCCTGAACCAAATTTGATCTTCATTTTCGCTATTGATTTGAATATAGTAGGTTGATTCGAGCACCATTGATAATCCTTATGTAGAACCAATGTGTGTCTTGCTAACGACAATTAAAGCTTGTTGTATTGATGAGTTTTGATCTAAAAGAGGGACTAAAGATACCAGAGGGACAGTCAAACTCATAGATCGAAAACAAACTGACAACGTCATGGCCAAAAATAAAAAGACAAACAGACAAATAATAGTACAGATGACACAACATAGAAAACTAAAGACTAAGCAACACGAACCCCACCAAAAACTGGGGGTGATCTCAGGTGCTCCGGAAGGGTAAGCAAATCCTGCTCCACATGTGGCACCCGTCGTGTAAAATGCACAATAAGTAATGTATAAAGTCAAAATATATTCGAAACAGCATAAATAACAAACAGCTTTAGAAATTGAAAATAATTATTTAAAAAGATATAAAAAAGTAAAGGAGTTTTGATCTTTAACGGGACAAAACTATTTTTTATACAGTAAGAGCATATGCATAAGAAAAGCAAGCTGTCAGTGGAGACAACATTGCGGTTACATAAAGAACAATTATATCAGTTGGTCTTACTTACCAAATGTTTGACAGTTTTTCCCTGTATATCTTGATGAACATTGACATGTATAACCGTTTGTTGTACTCACGCACCACCCAGAATGCAGACACGGGTCGGATTTACAATCTAAAAATGATTCCAGTTTTGTCGTTTAAACTATGTCGCAATGATGTTTTATATATATGTATATATAAAATTGAGAATGGAAATGGGGAATGTGGGAACAGACAACAGCAGAAGGTCACCAACAGGTCTTCAATGCAGCGAGAAATTCCCGCACCCGGAGGCGTCCTTCAGCTGGCCCCTAAACAAATATATATACTAGTTCAGTGATAATGAACGCCATACTAAACTCCAAATTGTACACAAGAAACTAAAATTAAAAATAATACAAGACTAACAAAGGCTAGAGGCTCCTGACTTGGGACAGGCGCAAAAATGCGGCGGGGTTAAACATGTTTATGAGATCTCAACCCTCCCCTATACCTCTAGCCAATGTAGAAAAGTAAACGCATAACAATACGCACATTTAAATTCAGTTCAAGAGAAGTCCGAGTCTGATGTCAGAAGATGTAACCAAAGAAAATAAACAAAATGACAATAATACATAATTAACAACAGACTACTAGCAGTTAACTGACATGCCAGCTCCAGACTTCAATTAAACTGATTGAAAGATTATGTCTTCATCATATGAATATCAGGCACAATCCTTCCCGTTAGGGGTTTAGTATCATACCATCATAACATAAATGAGAAGAACATAACCCGTGCCATGCCAACAACTGGTTTTTAAGTAAATGTGTTTATTGCCGATGCAAAGACCCTATAAGTGAATCAATATTAACGCCAAAATATGCAATCTTTAATGACCTGACAACAGTATCGTAACTATATCCCTTCTTAATAAGTCTATTTAAAGGTTTTGTTAGCTTCAGAGGTGAATACTGACATTTTTGTGCTTTATAAAGAATATTTCCATAAAAAATTGGATGTGAAATACCTGATAGTATAAGAAGCCTGCATGTTGAGCTATATTTACGAATGATGTCCTTATACCGATGATAAAATTTAGTAAATGTTTTGACTAGTTTGTGATATCGAAAACCCTGGTGTAATAATTTTTCAGTAATACATAAATTTCTCTCGTTAAAATCTAAAAACATTGTTACATACACGAGCGAATCGTACAAGTTGAGATATATAAACACCGTAAGATGGTGACAAGGGAACGTCACCATCTAAAAATGGATAATTAACGATAGGAAATGATAAATCATCTCTTTTATCATATATTTTAGTATTAAGCTTTCCATTCATGATATAGATATCAAGATCGAGGAAAGGGCAGTGGTCATTGTTAGTATTAGCTTTATTTAAAGTAAGTTCAACAGGATAAATTTCTTTAGTATACATACTGAAGTCGTCATTATTGAGAGCCAAAATATCATCCAAATATCTAAAAGTATTATTAAATTTGTGTATCAGATGTTGTTTCGATGGGTCTTTGCTGATTTTTGTCATAAATTGTAACTCATAGCAATACAAAAAAAGGTCCGCAATAAGTGGTGCACAGTTAGTCCCCATTGGAATTCCGATAACCTGACGATAAACGGAATCTCCAAAGCGAACAAAAATGTTATCTAGTAAAATTTCAAGGGCATATATAGTATCAAAGCATGTCCAATTGACATAGTTTTTTTGTTTATTGCTACTAAAAAATTACCTAAAAGAGTTTGAACATATATATTCACATTCTGACTTTTTAAATGCCCATTTACTTAGGTGTGTGAATTTTATCTTAATGAGAATGTGAGGCAATGTGGTATATAGGGTAGAATATATATTTAACTTACTTTAGTGTCAATAACTAAATATTGCAACGTGTTTTTTCTATTCTAATTCCGTTTGTATGATAACTCGGTAAAAACAAATTATCGTCCTTAAACGCATGTTTGAAACACAGTGACTATTAGACATTTTCGAAAACTATTCGATACAGACGCTTACACTTATGCCTATCACTACATGTAACCTATTTGAGAAGGGGTCATCTCAATATGTACAATGACCACAAGCATTAATATTATTTTGAATGATTAGCTACGTTATTAGCTCTGTGTAGTAGCTGCGAATTGACCGATCTTTACATTGTACTTTGAAAAAAAGGGGTGCTTTGTGTAAATTACTAAAACTTTAATCAGAAACAAGAACGTATAAAGCATTTTATAGCGTGAAACATAACGTATAAATATATAAATGCTATTATGTGTTATCTTGGTGTAATCAGGGTCGTACGGAGTTTTACACCTGTGTTGAAAGTGCATTGTAAAATTTCGTACACTCCTGATAACACCTAGAAAACGAATTTATTTCATATGAAACGTTACTTAACGGACTTTTATACCTGGGTATAAAATTGAGATATTCTTATGAACAACTTCAACTTTACAATTCAACAACGGGCAAGTTGTCAAACAGAATGTATTTTTTATATCTGCAACCAAGTTTTACGAGGTCATTCATTCAGGATGTTTCGACATTATGATACGGTCTCTATATTTTTGTAGTCAGTGTAGATATCGGTGTCGGTGTAAGGGTCTGTGTAGGCCACTTTTCGAAAATGTCTATTTATATGTCGTTGCTGATATCAATTTCAAATTTGTGTTTCAATATACGTAAATTCAGTAGAATTTCTCCGAAAATCATCATGTAGAATTTTCGTTGGTACCCATATCAATATAAAACATGTAATATATAAGTATTTGAATTTGAATACCAAATAACTCATTTCTGTCATTGAAGACCGTATGTTGACCTCAAAGCGTCTCTAGAATTTTGTTTTATGCTGTTTTGGTACTCTCTCAAAAACAAATATTCTTCATGTCCATGTATTCATATATAAAATACAAATCACGTATCTGATTTTAGATAGAATAGAATAAGTTCATGTTCCTCAACACGTGGAAACAAATATTTATCGGTTAATGACAAAACCGATTTGTAATTCATGGTTAATGACATATTTTTGTAAAAAATCAAATTTCATGACATAGCTTACAATTTGAGCGATTTGGTCTATCGATACTTAATTGAAATCAAGAAACCAAAACTTTAATGGATTGACAACAGGAAGGACGGAGGGACATGTGCATCACTATTAAATTCCCTTCTTTCGAGATGAGGTAAAATGCTATATCTGACGTAAGATTTACAGACTAGTCTGCCTTTCAGATGGCATGACCTTTGGATTTTAGTGTGTCGCCTCATAAGGGTGTACCTATCTGTTAGTGATAAGAATCAAATTAAAATATGCAAATATAGCGTCATGTGCTAAAGATATTTGTCGCAATATGAAAAGTAAACAATATCCAACTTACGGTCAGCTTCATCTGAAATTAAATGGAATTTTGTGTGTAAAATTTAAGGCAAACACTTTAGAAATTTGTATTATTTGTTCGAGGTGCAGCATGTTTGAACACATGAGGTACATATTTTCACAAAATTAAACAACAAAAGACATCTTTCGTTGACAACTTCTATGTCAATTGGTCTCTGGTAGAGAGTTGACTCATTGGCATTCATACCACATCTTCATATTTTTATATCTGAATTATTTTGATCTTCAATATTTCTATCAAAAAGACATCTTTCGTTGTTAACTTCTATGCCAATTGATCTCTGGTAGAGAGTTGACTCGTTGGCAATCATACCACATCTTCATATTTTTATATCTGAATTATTTTGATCTTCGAACATCAGACGGATGGAGACAATTTTATATCTTTCAAATGAAATCAGTCTGATGTTCAGGAGGAATAACCTTGGAGTTCGATATTTTTGATAATACTTTTTTACGATGTTGGTTTTGCTCATCATTGATGGCAGTGCTATGACGTGTTGTAGTTAACATCCTTGTTTCGTTTCTATCAAAACGATTTTCCACTTCATAAATTTGTTTTGTACAATTTTCGGAAGTGTCAATATTTTCGTGCAAGAAAGGCGACCGCAAATCCTTACATGCAATGTACTAGAAGTATTGATACATGAAGGTAGTAGAAGTTCAGCAATTTGCAAATACTTCTATGGCAAAACTAAACGAATCGAAAAGGATATCATACATGGTGATTGATGAAATTATTTAGCGAACTATACGTACTTTGACAGGACGTTCCTGTGTAGCCTGCTGCACAAACGCATGTGAACCCGGAAGCAGATGTCTGACATAAACCTCCATTTTGACAAGGTTTGGGCGCACAATCTAGATGAATATGTGTTAAATTTGTTAATATAAATCGTTTTCTTTTTATTATTCATTTATTTGGTTTTATATAACTATCATTATCTGTTCTTCCTTTTTTGTCATTTAACTTGGAACTTGAAAGTCTAGATGTTTGATTAAGAAACGATTTTTTTTTAAATTTAAAAAAAAATAAACTCATTTAAATTTCAATCGATTTTTTTTTAAATTTAAAAAAAAATAAACTCATTTAAATTTCAATCGACTCATTCAACTGAAAACTGAAAGTGCAAACTAAAACAACCAATGTACGGTAAAACAACTCCTACATGCATGACAATTGTAAAATTTCAAGAAATTAAATTCTTCCCTTCTTTCATTTTTATTTTTTGTCCTTCATGCTTAATTTTATACTTACAATCAATATCTGAAAAAAAGATAAAAAGTAAATCAGACAGGTGACTCTGTTAGTTTCTGTCATTTTAAATAAGAGGAAACAGTATTTTAAGGATGTTCAAATCTCGTAAGTTAATTTTGAAAATTTAAACCAATCAAATGCGACTATGGTAATCGTATGAACTCCAAAGGAAACGAAACCTAAAACTTGTATAGCTATTTTGTTTCCGTATCTGAATACATGTTGAAGACAAAAACAATTAGGTGTACCTTATATATGTGAATTTACTTCCATGTGTTCTTTGTGTATCCGTAGCCTCAAATACACGATTTGAAAGACAAACAGTATTTAAAATATGCAGCGTGTTTCTGTTAATAATTACTCTGAGAGTTATCGATTTAAAATAAGTGATCATGATTATCTAAATTCATAATGGATTGTACTATGAATACAAGCCTTTTGTTATTCAGTAAGAAAACAAGC